GTCATTTTTGGTAAAAAGTGATATTTTCAACTTCTTGTTAAAAACCGCATGTCCAATTGCTTTGATATTACATATATAGGTACTACATGTGGTCCTCTCTCAGATTTGTTCATTTTGTAATGATATCTTTAATTCTCTAATTTTGGTGAATATTTTTGTAATTTTTGGTAAAAAGTGATATTTTCGACTTCTTGTTAAAAACCAATAGTCCAATTGCTTTGATATTACATATATAGGTACTACATGTGGACCTCTCTCAGATTTGTTCATTTTCTAATGATATCTTTAATTTTCTAATTTTGGTGAATATTTTTGTTATTTTTGGTAAAAACTGATATTTTCGACTTCTTGTTGAAAACTGCAAGTCCAATTGCTTTGATATTATACATATAGGTACTACATGTGGACCTCTCTCAGATTTGTTCATTTTCTAATGATATCTTCTGTTCTTTATTTGCCATGTGCATTGCTAACAGCGGAGCTATCTCAGCCGACAGGCTGCTTGTTATGTGTTTTATTTTGATTTATTGTAGAATATTTTATTTTTGCTGAAATTTATCCATAATATTATGGACTTTTATTTTCACTAGTGCAATTTCACCCTGAAATTTTTTTATTTTATTTTATCTTTTGTGGAAGTGAAAATAATGAGTCTACATTATGTTGTATTTGTTATTCTGTGTCAGTACTAAGTATTCTGTGTCGTTGTTTGTCGATAATAAATTTGAGTGCAGAACTGTGAAGCGTGTTAATCACAGAGATGTGCTTGTCATTGCAATTTTTCCACGAGGTACATGCCAGAAAATTGTTGTCTGATTTCCAAGCTTTCAACCTGAGTGACCTTGATGAATTGAAAGGAGGCTATATAAACTGTGAATAACTGTCAATAAATGTATTTCATGATAAAATTTGCGATTTATTAATTCAAAAACAATAGACTATAAACTGAGTTTTGAAAAATAATCTTTTTTTTAGTACATTTGTTTGTCCATCCGAAGTCATATTTCAGAACACTGTGGACCAAATCTGTTCATTCTTTGTATGTGCCTTGTGCTTTATCTGGGACATATGCACATGCAGCGGTTTACTGATTCAATGCAAAATAGCTGACTGGCAGCCATTTTTTTTTTTGAAAATTTGATATCTTATGCATGCTTTGTCATTTTTTATTCATATTTGGTACATATATTATACATGTTACGATACATCTCTAGTACGATTCGCTTCATGATTGGATCAAAGATGGCTGACTTGCAGCCATTTTGTCATTTGAAAATGTGGTACATACATTATACATGTTACGATACATGTCTATGACAATGGTGACCATCTTGCTTTTTGACGATACTACTATATATCCAAGGCTTATGGACCATTTTCATTCATATTTGGCACATACATCATGCATACAGGAATACATGTTCATGTCAGTTTGTCCCATAATCAGATCAAAGATGGGCGACTTGCATCCTTCTTGTTTTTAGCTCCGCTGTCGACTTTGTCGAGCGGAGCTTATCATATGAGTGATTGTCCGTCGTCCTCGTCCGTGTCAATGTTTTACTTTTTCGACTTCTTCTTGAAAACTACAAGTCTGAATGCTTTGATACTTGGTGTATATGTACCTTGGGTAGACCTCTCTTAGGTTTGTTCATTTCATGTTGATATCTTCAATTCTCTAATTTTGGTGAATATTTTTGTCATTTTTGGTAAAAAGTGATATTTTCGACTTCTTGTTAAAAACCGCAAGTGCAATTGCTTTGATATTACATATATACAGTACAGTTCTCGCGGAAGCTTTGGCTTTTGTGGCATCATTGTCGCCTATGCATGGCTTCATTGTCGCCTCAGCATCGCATCATTGTGGCATCAGCTTCGCGTCATTGAAAATTGAAGCTATGTTCGCCTCGCTATTTTGTGGCATCATCGTGGCCTCAGCTTCGCAGTCTCATGGCATCAACATGGCATCAGCTTCAACTTATTGTGACATGAGTATGACCTCATTATTTGCACGCAGAAGGGCAGTAGACAAAAACATGTACAGAAGTTCGATATGTAATCGATTTGAAATTCAAGGCGAATAAAATAATATGATCAAGAGTAAAATGACATTTTAAAAAGATATCTTGTTTAATTATTTTAGTGTTGCGAGTATTGGGCGCCAAAAACTTTGCGAA